AGAGAACCATATTTTTCATCTATGAGTTTTTCCAATTTGATTTCTTTTTGAAAAACTGCATTTGAAATACGAATCTGCATCTAGGTATTTAAAACACTCGATCATCTATATCTAAGTCAGATTCAAGACTGATTTCTTCAAGAGTATGGTTTCTTGAAGAAATTGGTCATTCTCCTTTGAATCCAAATTTTGGTTTTTGTCTGAGTTAGAGCGCAAGCTGGTGCCATGGGATGAATGAGCTGACATTGCCATGAAGAACTGAGCTTCAAGTCTTGCTAAGTTGGAGAAGAAGATTGCACAAAGGAGGTATAGCTCATCTTCCTAAATAGATCTAGGTTTTTCTTGAGCTTGCTTGTGTTCCTTTGTAAGAATATTTTTCTACTTAGTGGATTGTATGGTCGGTTGATGACCCCCATTTTTTTCCAATGGTGGGTTTCTGGGTGAACAATTTTGATTTGCATCTCTGAAATGTTTCTGGGTTAGTGTTCTTGGTGGTTGACTAGTCATCGTATGAAATTTTGGGTTTGTGTTCTTGTAGTTGACTAGTCATCATTATCTGATGTTTGGTGTTTACTTGATTATGATGATTTCACACACTTTCACCATAGTTGTTGCTAGCATAGGGAATGCCTAGATTGACGGGTTCTTCTGAGTGCCTAGGTTGTCAATAGTAGTCTTCTGGGATTGCAGATACATTGTGGCATGCTCTGTGTGTATTCTTGATTGTGGTTGTTCATGACTAGCAGTTGACTAGTCATAAGTGTATTTGGTCAAGGTCTAAAGTTTGTGAAGATTGTTGCATTTTATTTAAGTGTCATAAAATTTACCCCTTGTCACCTAAGTACCAATTTCAAATACAAGTATATTTTGACACTCTCTTTTAAAAATCATAATAGTCTTAAGGCAAAACGACAGTTGTAATCCCTATAGTTTCCAACTTTTACCACTAAGGTCCCCGTGGTTTCAATTTGGTCACTTTTGCCACTGTGGTTTAGGAGTCCAAGCAACTCGAGGACACTTCTCAATTTCCGTCAGATTCCTTATAGTTTTGTTAGGGCCTGAGCACGTACCCCTCACATGAAGGGGCATTACGGTCAAATCGAGCCATCTTATAAACCCAAAACACTGGCTCAGCCTTACCCATTCGAATTAGGCGATTTTGGGGGAAGTTTGGGAGATGTCGAACTCTGGCCAAGTTCTAAGGTGTCAATTTTGTAATGGCAAAATGAGATTGAGAATCTCCAAGACAGATAGGACTCGTGGGAGACGTTTTTGGAAATGCACTAAATCTTATGTAATGTGCAAATTTATTTTTGTCAATTTTTAGGTATAAATGATGAATCTGGTTTTTGTGTTATTAATTTTGGAATTGTGCTGGATTTATTTGGGATGATGAACCAGTTAGATTCAATCAAGCAAGTAGAGAAAATGAAGCAGTGAAAGGAGGTGAAGGCATTAATGGCTGCTTGGAAGATGAATTGCAGAAGCCCAAAAGGTTGTAAGACTCTACTGTAAATTCCCTAAATGGAATTAAGGATTTGTTGCTGTTGATTTGTGGATTTCTACTATTAATTTTGGTGTCGTTGATAATGATTGTGGTTATGAAGTTGGTAAAAATTTGAAAATTGGCACCATTCCCATCTGGTATGTATTCTGAATGTTGTAATGTGTAAATTAAATGTTGTAGTTCTTTTGGTTTCGAAATTTGCAAGGAATGTGGAATGGAAGCTTTATTTTGATTCAAATCGCCTTATACAATTGACATTTGTTTCAACTGAAAAACTTGACAATTTCATGTTACAATAAATTTCCTGCTTACTCATTTGATATAACAGAATGCTAAATACTACTAACAATCAATCTACTGCTCCTATTCAATTCCAAAAAGAGTCATTTCAATTCCAAAATAACTTCAAAATGCTATTACATAACAAATGTTCCAGCAACTAAAAAGCTTCAGAATGTTAACAACTTATATCACATTCAAAACATGCATCAATTCAAAATACTTTTACATTTGAAAGGTGAAACAATTGAAAGGTTAAGCACTTCAAATTCATAAGGTCCAGTAACTGAAAGGTCCAGCACTTCAAAATAATTTTATATTCCCAACTTCAAATTATATTCCCAACTTCATTACTTCACAAAATAGTCAAGAATATGAATATGTTTCACTTCAGTTAGATTTCTAATTTATTCACTTCCTTGGTGCTTTCCTGGTCATTTCCATGGAGCACTACTGCTAACTCCCAACAGTCTTGGACCTTGGCTTGGAGTTGGATGCACAGAAGCAGATGGATTCACAAAGATATAAGCAGTTGGATTCACAGAGGCAGAGGCAGATAGATTCACAGAACTCGATACACCTTGCTACAAAGTTGCATGTGATGAGCTTTTCCTGATCTGCATTGAAAAGAAATAAAAAAGAAATAAAAAAAGGTTTACCAATCATTGTAATATACATCAAGTTGGTAAAAATAATTGCAAAATTATGAAATGAAACTCACAGGAAGCTTTCTTCTTTGCACATTCATTTGAGAACCTCATGCATTCATTTCAGACCCTCTTAAATTCATTTCAGAACCATATGCATTGGTTTGAGAACCTCTTGCATTCATTTGATAATCAAATGCATTGGTTTGAGAACCAAAGCCTCTCTTTTTCTTTGAAGGATACTCAGTTTTCAATTAATAAAATGAAGGAAAAGAAAATAAATTTGACCTTAAAAAAAACATTGAAGTTAACAACTAACAAAGTGAAAGAAACTAAAACAACTGTAAAAAAAAATTATAAAAAAAATTGAAACAACTAGGCTTTACTTGAGAAATGATCCTTCAAGTGGCACCCATCTACTCCAATGATGGGTCTACAACTAGCAAGAAAGCCTTTTTTACATGCATCAATGCATACATAAAGCCTTTGAAAAAGTTGAGGAAGCTCCGCCCTTATCTTCATTGTGCTTCCAACATTAGTTGCTCTGACCTCATCACAATACTCTCGTAACCTTGAGTATTGCTCCTTATAAGTCCCTTATATTATCTCTTTGGCCTTGTTCTTAACTCTTGCACATTGAATATCGGACACATTATACTCTAAGTCCCTCTTCACTGCTTTCCTCAAATGCTTACACTTTACATCAGGCTCATCCATGATATGATCTATGTACTTATGAGCAATGAGCACACAGTTCACAAATGGGTTAGTAGGGTTTTGATGACAAATGTGCTTATCAATAAACGTCTTGATTTGCAGGGTTTGCTCAAACTGCATAAAAGAAGCATGCATTTTCCACGTGCAATTTTTACATTGTGCAGTTATCCTCCTCTTATCATTTTTCACAAATTTAATATGACAATTGCCTTGCACTACATAATTTTTCATAGCCTTTTTCAAGTCTTCCTTGCTTCCAAATAACATTCCCTTCTCAAATTTAGGGTTATCCAAATCGTCTCAAAACTCTGGAAATTTTCCTTCTTTCACCTTCCTCATCTAAAGAGTAATTAGGAGAATCAAATCTTTTCTCAAAGTTTGTACCACTGTCTTCTTCACAAGCAGCAACCACAAAATCTTTAGGGAGATAAGTATTTCCTACTCTCCCAAAGTTGGACTGAAGATTTACATCAAATTCGTTGTTGTCATCTAGAGCAGCATCATTATCACTCTCATAAATCTTCTTATCTGATTCATCAGCACTATCTTCAAATTCTAATCTTCTTCTTCTACCATCAATATCAGTGTCTTCTTCAGTACTCTCTTCTTCACTATTTTCTTCTTCATTACCCTCTTCATTGATGACATTTCCAGCTAGCTTTACAGGAACCTCTACAGTTCCTATATTAGGCACTTATTCTACATATTCTTGGGTCAAATATGACTTATAATTAAAAATCTCATCAAAAAATGCATCTGGAACATCATCAAATGCTGCATTATAAAGCAATTGGGGTGGCCTAACATCTGGAAAATTTTAGCGTAACCAAAAAAGAACAAAAAAGCAAACCATGCATATTGAATATTTTATGTAAATAAATAGAGACACTATTCTTCCTAAAGCCTTTAGTAGTGAAAACATGCACGGAACCATTGCCTTTACTTCCTATTCCAAAAAAAACCTTCACTTCCTAAAGTCTTTACTTTCCCACCAACTATTCCACTAAGAGACAAACTCAACCCAATACAAAAGGCTACAAATCAAGGATAAGAAATAACACGGTAGACAATTGAAAAAATAAAGCATTGAAAGCAACAAACATTTTAACCATTGAAAACCCCTATATCAAATTGAAACTAAGTTAAATAATCAAGCTCTTTCTAACCTGGTATGTTCAAGCTTCCACTGCCTTCTCTTATGCTCTTCGTCATTTTGGTTGTGTAACCAACTCCTTCAATCAATTAACTTTTACGCATATATGAGAATTTTTTAATTAAACCCTAAAAGTCTCAAAAGAAATCCCTAATTTATGTTTAAGGATTCGAGCCTTTGTGTTTTCTTTCTCTGGAGTAAGAAGAATGAGAATGTTGGGTTATTTTAGGGGCATGCGCTATGAATTGCAAGGGATTGTACCTTAATGCCCCTCCACTTATTCAATAACTAACAACAACTAACTAAAAGAAATTAACAAAAATTGAGAAGTGTCCTTGAATTGCTTGGAATCCTAAACCACAGTGACAAAAGTGATGAAATTGAAACCATTAGTGGTAAAAGTTGAAAATTACAGGGACTACTAGTGTCATTTTGTCTGTTCTTAATGGAATACCACAAGACTTGTTTAGATTATTTAAAAGTCTTAATTGAACACCACAAAACTTATTTATCCGAAAATAATATTTTAAAATATCAATTGAATATACCCTCGTAAAATCATGTAATTACTATATATTAAAATTATAAGTAAAATCAAATAATTATAAATTCGGCTGAAATCCATCATATTAAAATCATGTAATTACAATCTATTAAAATATCGATTGAATACACCCCTCCGCACCCAAACAGGGACGACTTTATTCCACGCGATCCTCACGTGTTGGTGGAACCCAGAAATTTCAGTGAGAGAGAGGAGGAAGAGAGCAAAGATGGAGAGAAAGGCAGTGAGAAGCGAAGCGATGGAGAGCATATCGGAGAGGCTATCGTCAATGGAGGGCCTCTACTTCCCTCGTGCCTTACACTCCAACACCGTCAATCCCTCCCAGCGCAAGGCCATACTCCTAGACCTCCTCTCTCGCGACGTCGCTGTTTTCCTAGGTACCCCGATTTATCTCTCTCCCACTCTCCGAGCTTTCTATGTTGGTATATTCTAACCCTGAAAGTTTTCAATTAGGGTTTTGAAGTAAAACCCTGACTTGATGATTGGTTTCTGGACAAATTTAGTGTAAAGTTGAAAAGATGAAAATTGTTCCTTTCGTTTTCGAGAGGATTAAGGAGAAAGAAGGAAGATTGTTTAGGTTTAGCTCAAAAAAAGCTCAGCTGCGTTTAAAACCACTGAAAGGAGATTTTTCTTTTTCTTCCCACAATCCTCTTTATTTGTATGCTGAGAGAACTGAGCAGAAAAGGATAAAGAATCTAACTTTGAAGTTGACGTGTTTCTCGAGGTTCTTGCTATTGTTAATCTCACTTAAGCAAGCCAAAGCAAAGACTCTTTTGAGTAATTAGCCTCAGGTTGAGTCCATACTATCATTGTTTGAGGATTCGAATTACAGGAAATATAAGATGCCAAAATGTATGTTGATTGCTATGTTGCAGTGCTTCCGATTCATTGAAAATTAGGCAGAACTATTTCTTTGTAATCTAACAGTTCAAGTTAAATTCATTTCCATTTTTGCTAATACCCTTTTCTTGATTTGTTTTTTCAGAACGCTATGGATCGAAATTGACTTTTGATGAGCTCCAGGAGTTTGACGTGCTTAAAGATGATTATGAAATCAATTGGCATGTGAATCATCTTAGACGTTTAATGAGCCCAACGTCAGATGAATTGAAGTCGAGATCGGTTACAGTCAAGAACCGGAGGCGAGCATATCTTAATAAACTGATATTTGATGGGCATTATTTCTCAGAAGATGCCATGAGGGAGAGGGAGCCATACTTGCATCATGAGTATGTAGGGAAGTTTCAGGATCCGATTGGAAGGAGCATGGCCAGACCTGGGGAGAGGTGGTCAGACACGTTGTTGAGGAGGGCAGAGGAAGCAATTTTGGTTGCAAAGATTAGAGGGGAGCAGCAAAGGTTGGGTGTTTCTGAGAGTGATTGGGTTGGTCGTGAGAGAAACCAGCAAGAAGAGCAAGAAGAGGAGGAGGAGGAAGAAGAAGAAGAGGAAGAGGAAGAAGAAGTTAAGGAGGCTAACAGGGGCGCACAATCTGCAGAGGTAACTTATTAAACAATTAAAATTTATTCTTGCAAAATTAAAGAAGTATTGTTTGCTGACTGCCACATTCTATATTCTACGTATATTTCAATATTTGTGCTGACTGCACATTCCATGATAAAACATGAAAACAATATGGTGATAGTGATTGTGATTGTCTGCGTTCTCTGTTGAATTTTGGAGTTTTGTCTGGTGAGATATGTAATGACCAAAAACCAGTTCATACTATATACTTTTTAAAAGAAGTGGGTTATGATGAGAATCAATGGCTATTACATAAGATTTCAGATCCCTCTCTCTTACTTTGGTTTTCTTCTGTTAAGTATCACTGTAGTGACAAAATATCTGCTGCCTTATGGAAGAACACCTTGATTGCCTTATCCCTAGAATTCGAGTTGGATTCTAAATAATTATTGAAAAATAGACAAGGGTAAGGAAGTGGTGCTACAAGTTACTTTTGGTTTTATTTTTTTATGTCAGTGGTCTATCCAGTGAGCATCACTGTTTTTATTCTAATACCATGTGCTATACTGATGAAACTTTAAAGTTATAGTAATCTCAACCAATTTGGTGAAAATGCTTTTTTTTGATGTTTTGTTCTTTGGTTCTTGTATGATTTAAATGCTTCTAATGATTTAGATATCTACTTGGCTCTTGTTAGTTGCTACAACATAGCTTGCAGGTTGTTCTAACATTTTTAGTTTGCCTTGTCTCTTATAGGTGCTTATGGATCATCCAGATGCACCCAATGGTGCTCAAACTGGGGATCGTCTGGATGCGCCCAATGGTGCTCAAACCATCACAGAAGAGCGCAGTGAGCAAGCAACTGTATCTGCAGCAGAGTTGCAAGATCAGATGGATCAGTTCACCCACATCATGCAGCAGAAGTTTTTGTTGGGAGAAGATAATGAGTATCTAGATTACTCAAAAATCGACAACGACGAGACCTTGGATGATCACTGGCAGAGGGAAGCCAACCATGACGCTGAGGAGAAGTACTTTGCTGAGGATTAAGAACTTAAATGCATATAGTCCTAGTTCTTAAGAGTTTTTTTTTTCTTTTTAAATAACCTAGTGGTCTAGCATATACCTACTTTCTATGTACATTATGTGTAACCAGCACTTTGTTTTAGTTGTTTGCTGGTTTTTTCAACTGAAACATCTTAAGAAATACTTGAAAAGTTAATCCTTTTTACTGATTAAGATTATGCACATGTAAGATACTATAGAGCTCAAATATATTTTCACAACTTTTTGAAGCCCTCTATCCTGAAGTGGGACTCAGAATATCATGGGTGTCATCCGAAGTAAGAGAATAATTTGAAATTATAGCTAGGAATTGGAATAAATACCTTCTGTTTTTTTTTTTTTTTGTTATTATTTTGTTTCTACCCAGAACACGTTTCAAATAATTCTGAATGGATTATCATGGAACATCATGGGCTGGAATCTAATCAAAACTGAGAATCTTCTGGATTGGTTGCTGATAAAGTATTCGATCAATCTTATAGAATTTGTATTCTCATGTCCATTACTGGTGGGATTGACAAAATTAATTGAGTGAAACTAGTAAAAGGGATAAAATTTATAAGGTTTGCTAGAAGCTTTGGAAAGACCTCTTAATTTGCAAACTGTTTGCAGGAAAGTTGTATAAAATCCAAGGCAAATAGAGTTGCACACGTACGCGACCATCCTATGAATTAATCTACGAATCAAGCAAAAACATACCTTCAATACAAGTCTCTGCAAGTAAGGAGATGCCTTCATCAAAGAAGATAATTGACTAAGACCCCACTGATTATCCACAAGGAAAAAAGATATCATAACCACAAGTTGAATATCCATCCCGTTTTATTTCTGCACCTACTTTATCTTCTCACTCATCATGTAAATACAATCCTATATTTCCACCCACTATTATTCCTAAAATACCTTTTAATTATTAATTCAAATATTTATCCAAAACTCTCTCATCCCCGTCCCCATTCCTCTGCCTCTCTCTGCTCTATGCTCCTGTCTTATTCTCTCTGCTCTCTTTTAAAAAAAAAGTATTCAAAAGCAACCAACGTGAAACTCCTATCCCTTCTGTTTTTCCTCATTTTAAGATCTTTGCAAGCATCACTCTTTCTCGTCCGATTGAATTTTTTTTTTTTTTTTTCTCATTGCAAAGCTAATTGATGGCCACAACTTTTGCTTGATTAATATATTTCAGCAATGTCCTTTATGTTTTGTCGTCCAATTACCAAATTCATCTTTCTCTTGTAAAATTAAATGGTGGTGGCCACAACTTTAGCTTGATTTAATATATAGAATTTTTAGTTCTCATCATATTTGGGTTTTTTTTTTTTTTTTTTGTGGTCGAAATTGCAATTCATTGCAAACCCTCAAAGGGGTAGAGAACAGTACAAAAGCACCGCCCAAAAAACTAGAAAACAAACATGAACAAATCTAATTAAAACCAGTACAGTATAGCATAAAGATCATATTCCTGAGTTGAACCTAAAATGTCAAAAGCCAACAAAAAGGCATTTGGTCCACAAAGAGGTATTGCACCCACATTTAGCAAAATGCCCACATTAAACATAAAATACATAAAATAAAACACATAAAACCTAGCCGCCACCACCAGTAAAGGGAAACTCCCCGATTGTAGTTGGACACACCGCCAGTCACCACCATGAAGACCCAAACACCCATAGGTCAACAAACCAAGCCAAAAACCTGAGATTCACAAACAGATCCAAAATCAACCCAACTCATACATCCACAAGACAGCAGCCAACAAAAAAAGAACGAGAAAACCCATTCCATAGCCAGGAGGAAAAGAACCAAGAACCTGAAAGGAGGTGGTGCAAGCACCCGAGCTAGAGCTCTACACACCTTCCAATAAATACGCGTCAAAACGCGTTTGAAATTTGCAGCTACAACCCAAGGATAAGGCCAGATCGAAAGGGAGGTGAAGGAACCCAGGTGAGCCATGGATTTTGGGTCAGTATGGAGCAGGACCTGCAAGGTAGATATGGTGGTGAAAGGGGAAATCATGCCCAAGGTCTTCATCCCACCAGATTGGAAAAAGGAGGAGAAGGAGAGAAGTGAGATTCAAGGAGGAAGGAGGAAGAGGAGGGGAGGGGAGGAAGGGGAGACCACCTCCCCCCTAGATGCGGCGCTGGGGGTTTTTGGTTTTTCTGCTAGGGTTAGAGAGAGAGAGCGGCGTATCATATTCGGGTTCAGACTCCATACTCGAGACATAGACATAAAGTTTGTGACTTCTCGGGATGAGCAAGAAATGATTTTGATATAGGCTTTGCTACCCTTCTGAAGTGGTACCATACGTAGTTGAATACCGGGATTTTGGAGAATCAGCAAAAACAAATTTTGATATGTGAACAGATATTTTGAGGTGAGAAAAAAGAAAGGATGCAGAAATGTTGAATTTTTCTTTAATCGACTGTGTTTTTTTTTTTTCCCTGTAAATGTTGGGTCTCCTTAGAAGTCATTCTATAAAGGAGGAGTAAGTTTGTCTTAAAATTTTTGAAGATAAAGTGAGTAAAGAAATATGACAGGGGATGGAAATAGTAACACACTCTACTTGTTTGGGAGTGATTCTAGATAGACCAAAAATCACTTTTATGGAGAATCACTTCTCCATATAATCACTTTAGGTGGTTTTAAGTGATTTTATGGAGAAGTAGACGAAATGTGATTCTCCCCATAATCACATAGGACCATTTTGGCATTGCTGTATTGTAAAAATAATAGATGTGAAAGAAATCAGCTGTGAAAGAAATCAGCTATGAAATTAAGCAGTTTAGCGTTGGTAAACTTTTTGTTAAAAGTATTGTTAGTACTAATTCCCGCATAACCAGAAAATGATTGCTGCATAATCACTCAGCGCCTCTTCGAAACCGATTCCTGCATAATCAGAAAATAAAAGCACCTCATTAACTGTTTTTTTTTTTTTTTTATAACTTTCTCTCACAGTAATTTTTAACAATAAGTGATTTTCTCATAGTTTATCAAACAGGCTGGGCTTCCCAAATTTTTTAAAAAATCACTTATCACCTCAAATAAATAATATCAAATGAGCACTAAAAATGATTATACAACGAAGCACGTGAAAAAATTGCTTCTCTCCAAAAATGATTCTGGCCTATCAGTAGATGACCATTTTTGTTATTTAGCAAATCAAAAGCCAGCCGACTTCTTTTGCACGTGACAAATAGTACAATCCATCATCAGGCCTTTACCACCGTGGGCCCCACCCCCTCCGCTGTCTCCCGGATAAAGAAAGAAGAATGTCAACCCAATTTCTTTCTTTCCTCATTAAGTTCCCGTTAATTTCCAGCTTAATCATACTTGCTTTTAAATTTTAATCAATCAAATTTAATTTAAAACCATAAACAGCGAAAATATCTCTGGCCACAGCTCCACTCCCATTGGCTACCCCAACCCGACGATCTCCCCAACATTCCCCACTCACCTGACACGTGTCCATATCCTCTCTCTCTGTGCAGAATCTAAACGACCAAACTCTAGATCTCCCCTCATCAACAATAAATCCATACGAGTTGTCGTTCGTTCGCTTGCTAGCCCATCTATCCATCGCCACTAGCCAACGACGATGAAATTACCAAAACACCCTCCATATATAACTATAAGCCTCCCCCCGATCTCTCCCTCTCTTCCCTCTCTCTGCTTCGCACTCTTATTCTTCTCTCGAAGCTGAGTTGGTGACCCGAAAACCCGAACCCAAACGAACGAATTCCAGAGCGGCATGAGTTAGCAATCGAAACCGAAAACCCCTAGACCCTCAGCCCTAGGGTTTTTTTAATTTTTGTAATTTTTAATTTTTTTTGGGGGGTTAATTGTTAATTTTCGATGCTGGGGTGAGAAAATTTTTGGGCATCAAAGAAGAAGAAGAGATGTATAGGGAGCGAGGGGTGGGTGGGTCGAAGACGACGGAGGTGGGGCCCGCCGTTGATCGGAAGCGGATCAATGACGCTCTGGACAAGCAGCTCGAGCGATCCTCGCCGTCCACTTCTAGGGCAATCAATGGCAAGGATAAGCCGCTTATCATGGGGGGAAAGCAGCCTCCATCTGACCACAGAGACCCTCGCTCTGCCGCTGCCTCTCTTGCTAAAACCAATTGCTCCGATGGTTTGAAATTTTCTTTATGTTAATTTGATTAATTGGAATTGTATGCCTTCTCCTTGCTCAATTTGTTTCCTTTTTTATTTTTTGTGGGTTTCTATGAAAGTAGAAGAGTAGAGATCGATTGCCTGCTTCGGACAACATCGTTGATATGTTAACAATCTATGCTTTGCTTTGGTTTGTTGCATTAACACGAGTGTAGAAAAAATAAATGAAGGGTTTGAAATGGATTCGCATTTGGATTAAGTTTTCAGAAATGGGGTGCATCTGGGCAGTTGGATGCATTGATATAAAAAAAATTTCCCTTAAGGATATCAACTGGATTTGTGTACATACTTGTTTTAATTATAATGCATTGTACACATATTACGAATTGCGTTCTGTTTGATGTCATCGAAACATGTTAGTGGTATTCAAAGGGATGAAATTGGACTTTCTGTATGAGCTTTCCATCTATTCGTTGTGACAACTAAACCTTAAGTATATCCTTTGCTATAGCGGTCTGCCCATGATTTGATGTCACCATCTTTTCTCTTCCGCAGGCTTATCCATACAAGAAAAGCTGTAATTTTGTGGCCCCACTAGTTAGTTGTTCTGTCGGATGTCCCATCCCTTCCTTCACATAATTTTACTGTCCATTAAACTGCCAGGTCCAGAATCCGGAAGTTACTGAGCATTGTTTAGTATTTGGGAAATTTACTTGAACTTTTGCTAGAGTCCGTTATTTGCAATAGGATATGGGTTTTTCTAGGGAGTGATACCAAACAGTTTGGTGTTATATCCTTTTTTGATCTGGAGTTTAATTTTGAATGTATCCCTAGTTTATAAAGAGCAATGGTAGTAAACTACGTCTCAAGATAGAGAGTAATTTTCATATTTGAAGTTCATTCTCTTACAAGTGGTTCTTTGCAAACTGTTTGAAAACTTGGTTTCTTGTTTTTTACATTACTATTGAGTATTAAGGAAATTCACTTTTCTTGATTTTAAATATCTGCTTCTATCCCACTCTCCCTACCCCAGAGAAAAAAATTGATACATGCCACCATGGACAGAAGGGTTGCACATAGAACACTATTTATCATCTTTAAACTTCATTGTAATATGTGATGTATTCTACTCTGGTGAAGTTTGATTTATGACGAGTAGGTATTGTAAAATTGGGGTGCACATCTCCTGGAAAAACAGAATGTGTGAACTTTGTTTAGTTTATAATTATATTTTTGTTCATCTGCACTTTCTGTTGTTGGTTTTGTTTGGTTTGTCTTGCCTATTCATAGATATAGGCTACCAGTTCTGTAAATCTACTAATGGAAATGTATCTACATTGACTGCAGAGGAATCTGAAACAGACAGTGAAGAGTCAGATGTTAGTGGTTCAGATGGGGATGACACATCTTGGATCTCATGGTTTTGCAATTTACGAGGAAATGAATTTTTTTGCGAAGTTGATGATGATTACATACAAGATGATTTTAACCTCTGCGGGCTAAGCAGTCAAGTGCCATACTATGATTATGCACTTGATTTAATTTTGGATGTTGAATCTTCTCACGGTAAGCTTGATGTTTCAAAGTATTTCACGTTGGCTCCATGTGTGTTCTTTCTTGCAGCCATATGATTAAGCTATATTTTTTATATAAAGAAAAATATGATCAATCTGTATTTCTGTAAGAATCTTTTCCATGGAGTCGCGAACTTTTTAAGCTATTTTTCTTGAAATTTGTTCTTTCACCAGCTTAATATTAAAGGATGATTATTTTTGAACTCAAGAAGCTACTTTCTGAAGCTGTTTTTAAAAATAAAAAATAAAAAATCCAGACCCAATTCTACTGTCTAGAAAAAAATTAGAACAAACATCTTGTTTCTCCCTCCTCGCCTATCCCACCACTTTTTAAATTATATGACTATTTGTGTGATCAGCCATTTGGTTTTTTGCCTATTTGATATATACTTTTGGCAGGTGATATGTTCACAGAAGAACAAAATGAGTTGATTGAATCAGCAGCAGAGATGCTTTATGGTCTAATTCATGTTCGATATATATTGACAAGCAAAGGCATGGCGGCCATGGTAAGTTTCTTTTCTTGATTGTCTGTTTGAAACTTTCATGCTTTCTTGACTGTAAAATTTGTGAACTGGCTAGAATTGTGCTATTGGATCTACAGCTAGACAAGTACAAAAACTATGATTTTGGTAGATGCCCAAGAGTTTTCTGCTGCGGACAACCCTGCCTCCCAGTTGGCCAATCGGACATCCCACGGTCAAGCACTGTAAAAATATATTGCCCCAAGTGTGAAGATATCTACTACCCTCGATCGAAGTATCAAGGTAGTATCCTTTATATATTGAATGTATATTTACAATTGTTGGCTGCATAAACAGCCACTTTGTCAAGAAGCTGAGCATTAACGTTTGGTTTTTATTCCTTTGCTGGTTGGCTTCTAAATGTCTGGAAGCTGAACATTAACATCTTGTTTTAAGTTGAGATGGGGGTTAGTTCTATTAAAATTTAATTTGTAGGTTTTGTCCTGGAAGGATTGTAATTGTCAGTTAGAAACTGGCAAGTAGGTTGAAACCATTTTTCCAATGTTTCGTTTAGGTAAATTATTTGTTTCATCTGATTCACTTGCATTTATAAGTAGATTCTTGTGGTGTCTTTTTAAAGGGTATGGCTTTGGGGTCTGAAACTGCTTCCTCTATGGATGGCTAAGCATCAATGTTCATGTTGATAAATTATAACAGCTTGGTTTTGTCATTTGAGAAGATTTTGTTAGTTTCCTTATTGATATCTGTTATCTAATGTAGTCAATTTCTCGTTTTTATATGCTAATTGATTCTTTATTTTTTGTTAGAAACATGAAATTACTGTGTATTTTGCTAGCACCTTGCGTTTATCAGTATCATGTCATGTACTTTGTCGTCTATAACATCATTATGGGGTTGGGTCAATTTCATGGTCCAACACCATGCTCACTAGTTTTGCCTGCATTAATTCCTGAGTTACTTAACTCTATCTAGACATTGATGGAGCCTACTTCGGAAGTACATTTCCTCACCTGTTCTTGATGACATACGGGAACCTGAAGCCTCAGAAGGCATCACAGAGCTATGTTCCTAGAGTGTTCGGATTCAAGCTTCACAAGCCATGATGCTGGAATTTCAAGCTTCAGCTGGGGTGGTGGAGTTCATGTGAGACTCGCTTCCCTCTGTCATTAATGCTCTTGAGAGTGCGGTGGAGTTACTCCTCCAAATTATCACAATATAGATTTCCTCTTAATGTGTTCCTGGATACACTATCAATCATATTTGCAGCCATTCCAAGCTTCATTTTCAATTTTAGCTGCATCTTGGTGAGCTTCTATAGAACTTCTCAGTTTGGTTTTAGTATTAATAAGTACTTTGTAGTGGTTTCTGCCGACTTGTTTTCTTCATTTTCTTATTAGCTCAAGTTGGATTATTTAAAAACACTCCGAGAATAGCCACTTCATCTCACTACAATTTTCGTCTATCCTCAGAATGTACTGTTTAGTCTTAATCTTCTTGTCTAATGATTTTAGATTCAAGTCAACAGTAGGATGTATGCACTTAATTGTTGGAATATAGTAATCATATATACCATCTGCGTGCAGGTATTTTCATTTTTGACCTAATATTCTTTAATTTTTCTTTGTTTAATATGTTGCTTTCCTTTTAAAAACAAAATGCTGCTTTCCAAAACTTCTGCTTTTTGGGGGAAGAGAATTCAAAGTTATAAATTAGATATACTAGTTAAAAACGGAAAACAGAAAGTTGGGATTCTTTGATGTGCAACTTTGGAGTAAAACTAACGTGTAATGTTTCATACTCCTTTCCCTCAATAAGATGAGCGAGATAGAGAGAAAGGGGTAAGAACAGAGTATGAAACATGGGATACGTAAATTTGTACAAATGGTCTTCCCTATGTCCGGGCCAATGTTACCAATTGATCTATAATTCTTTTTCTTTTAGTAGGAACTAGTTTGATTTTTTTTTTTTTTTTTTGTGGTTGTAAAAAAATGACTTATTCATCAAGAGGAGTCGAAAAAATTAAGAGCATTTATTTTTGCACACGATGTTGGGTTTCTAATTACTTGCTTGTATTTAAAAAAAAACAAAATAATTTATACGTCCATGCAACTCTTGACGGCAGCAGCACATCAGTAAAAATTTCTCTTCATCATGGAGGGATGTTGAACCAATTGATTGATCCACGGTGTCAAACCTGAAGATTGAAATTAAAGGTTTCTTTTATCATAAAATATGGCCATCAATGATGAAGATTAGTACAACTATGCAAAGATCTTCTAAAATATTTTTAAAAAACTAATATTTTAAGAATACATCATAATCAAATGCATAAGAAATTCCAATTAAACAATTAATGAGGTTTCAATCAAACGTTACGATTGTCAAAGTTCACGGCAAGCGACACAAAAACTACAAACGTCATTAGCATTATCCTTGTTTACGCAGTCAGCGTTATCTTCCAGCATAAAAAACAGTCAGCGTTATCCAATCGGATAGTGCCACGTGTGTTCCTTTTTCAAATTTAAGAAAGGGCAAGGGCATTTCAGCAAATATTCTATAATCTCGGGGTTGTATAAAGAAGAAACAAACCAGCTCAGGTCGGTTTCTGCCAGAAAACCAGACATGAATACCACAGCACAGAAAAAAGAAACAGCAACATAACACAGATATGCACCAATTGCTCTGAATCTAGGCAAACCCAAAAACCCACAGGTATTCTAAATTCACAGAGCCACTCACAGACAGAGACAGAGAGAGAGAGAGAGAGAAGAAGAAGAAGAATGAGAATTTGTATGTAAATGCAACGCAGATCGGAAAAGTAAAGAAAAGCAGAGGCTGAGGCCAACCCAACACTTGGAATTCATCCAATTTCTCATCAAAAGCACTTCTAAATCCATATCCAAATCCAGTTATCTGGATACCCAATTTTTCCGACACATGTCACCAAACTACCCACCTGATCATTTCTAAGCAACCCAAACAGAGACATCACTCACCATCACCAAACCCACCAACACAACCTCACCAAAATCCCACCCAATTCAAATTCCATGAGGAACCCATCTCCAAGTTTCTCTTGCCATTACATGCCCTTTGCTCAGCTCCCCACAAAAGGCCTACAATGAACCAAACACCTTCCAGTCTTTCCCACTCTCCTACACTCTCCTCTCTTCACCACCACCACCACCACCACAACCAAAGTTCTTTGAATTCAGGCTCTTCTTCTTCTTCACATTCATTTCTGTGTTCTGCTTCACTTGCAATCATTCCCTTTGCCACGAGATCACTGGCTGTCAAACTTTTTCGCCATTTCCGCTGTGCCCATTTGCTCAGAGTCCACTGTCGCTTGCTTATCCTCCTTTCAGTGCCTTCCCTTTACTTCATCACAAGTCCTCGCCGGTCTTTCCTTCTTGATTTCCTCTCTGTAATCGCTTTCTCGGCAGCCCTTTTGATTTCTCTGAATATTGCACTTCCTCGTTTTGTTTCAATTCGCTTGTTTCTTTCCCGCTCTTTGCCAATTAAGCTTTGTTCATCTTCTTGCGTCCCTAAGCCCCCTCAGCCTGTTCTTTGGTCAATTGGGCAGAAGCCAAAATTGGAGAAAAGGCCAAATTCTGGGTCTTGGGTGCAGGTTTATAGTAATAAGGATGTTTATGAGGGTGAATTTGATAGAGGAAAGTGTTCAGGAAGTGGGGTTTATTACTATCATATGAGTGGGAGATATGAAGGTGATTGGATAGATGAGAAGTATGATGGTTATGGTGTGGAGACTTGGGCAAGAGGAAGCCGGTATCGTGGACAGTATAGGCAGGGGTTAAGGCATGGGATTGGGGTTTATAGATTCTTCACTGGTGATGTTTATGCTGGAGAGTGGTCTAATGGGCAGTGCCATGGGTGTGGAATACTTACGTGTGAGGACGGGAGCCGTTATGTTGGAGAGTTCAAGTGGGGTGTCAAGCATGGACTAGGTCATTATCATTTCAGGTAAATTTACTCTCTTCTTTTAGATATATGGTTATTGTGTGTGATGTAATATTATTTGGATTTCCAGGATATTGATGTTTTGAAATAAACACTGATCAGTGGCGATGTTGTTCTATGTGGTCTGATATTGATGTTTGGAGTTAGTTTGTTAATACTAGTCAAGTAGATGATGGCCTATGTTTTCCCGCGTGAAGCGGTGGGAAAGGTTGATGGAATTGAAATGATTATGTACCCTCCCTGAGTTACTATGTCGTCTTTTGATCTGGTGTTGGAATTTGTGCCCTAACTTGTAGGTCAGTTTACCCGTACTCTTTTACAGTAGTAGGAAGTTCAGTTGCAAAATTCATAACAGGACTTATCAGACCTGTGTGTATTCTACTTAGGTGAAACATGGGAACAAATGGTTTGAATAAATATCAACCTACAAAATATTCTTCCTTTAGGAATTCGTAGAAATATTAGAGGTATGCATATTGGTCAGGGTTGTCTAAGGTTTTAGGTATTATGAGCTTAATGGAACAGTTGTGCACTTCGTACCAAGTTTAGTTAGTTTTGTCTCTTTGGCTAGGAGTTTGTTTCTTTCAGTCATGAGTTCATAGATGTCAATTCTGTTTGGCATTGAGTTGTTATACCTATCATGGTTCCGTCGCGTAATTTACAAAAAGTTCAATACTTTAAGGATTCACTTTCTGGGTTATGACCAGGATATGTATTAGAATACCTAGAATAAAAGATAGTATTTTGGCCAAAAAAAGGCAGTTAAGTCTTTAAGCCTCATGGAGTTTGGAACCTATCTCATACTTTATTGCTTCACCAACACATTCTCTACAGGGTCCCTTGAATCTCCTTTAATATTACGTTGCTGATGTTTTTGGCACCTGTGGACAGGAAAACTGATTTAGTTTCCCCCATTTGACTGTCGTGTCTGTGTGTTTTATGTGTGTTGTGTGTGTGATCTCACACATGTTAAGAAAACCTGTTATATGAGAAGTGCATTCAATCATTTTTGGTCTTCAAACATATGCCAAGGAAGGAGGGGTTAGTGGTGATTGTTTGATATATGCAAGTGAAAGTTAAATTCACAAAACCACATCAGTGCTGATTTCTACGTGTGATTGTGCAGAAATGGGGATAGGTATGCTGGGGAATATTTTGCTGACAAGATGCACGGTTTTGGAGTATATCAGTTTGGGAATGGGCACCGGTATGAAGGAGCCTGGCACGAAGGAAGAAAGCAGGGACTTGGTATGTACACTTTCAGAAGTGGGGAAACACAATCTGGGCATTGGCAAAATGGGGTTCTAGATATTCCCAGTGTGCAAAATACCCATCCTGGATCTCCCCGTGCTGTCAACCATGCCAGAGTGCTTAATGCAGTCCAGGTAATTGTGTTTTATGTCCTTGTGGTATTAGTATTTCTTTGGAATAAATTCTGCCTGAAATGTGATGGTCTACAACCGTAAAATATTTTGGAATAAGTTAGCTGGACAAGCTTTGTGCGAAGTATTTTGTATTGTATGTTGTTGTTGACTTGGTTATTAATTAAAAGTTTAGTAAAACACCATCAATAAGTTATATCTTCTTGTATGCAGATAAAGTATGTATACATCATTTTTATGCTTTTGAAACTGACTCACAATGAATTTGTCATACAAGTAATATTCCTCAACAGAACACCAACCAGTTAGATCTTTTTCTTTTCACTAAAATTTAATTGATGTGTGAAGGAGCAGCCATTGATTTAGATTAGCTTTGCTTGTTGAGGATAACTTTCTACTCAGTGAACGTTTCTGCAATCTAAATTTCTAGTTGCTTGATGATCCCAATGAAAAAATTGAAAAACTTTTAAACAATAAAACATTAAGTTTTTACAAAGACTTGGAAGTTACACTAAGTGAGTTTGGTTTTTATGATTTTGTGCGTCCTCGTTTATGGAGAGCTTCATGATTGCATTTTTGTTGGAATCTATTGGAAGTTTGTGGATGCATGAGTTGTACCTACTTCCACTATATATGTCATCAGTCATTAGAGTTAGACTCGCTTTTGGGTTTTAACGTTATGCTGCCAGAGCTTTTCCTCAAAGAATGACAGCTTTGCAATAGAAATACTCAAAAGTTGATTTATGTGAAACTGCAAAAAACAATTATGTGCACAAGCCCTCACCGCTAAGATAGTTTTCTCACTAAAAACCATCTTATGAGCAGGAAGCACAAAGAGCTGCTGAGAGAGCATATGAAGTGGCCAAAGTGGATGAAAGGGTGAAGAAAGCCGTAGCAATAGCTAATAAAGCAGCAAATGCTGCAAGAGTTGCAGCTGTAAAGGCTGTGCAGAAACAGATACACCCATTACAACAATGATGGCAACAGCACTACCCCGCAGCTCGCCTCAGCTTTACAGACCATTCAGCATCAACATCATGCTTCTGCGGCTGAATCGTCACAGCGTATTTTTATTTACTGTTAGACAAAGCCACAGAAGCACGAGGAAAGAAGACCACACAGACTGGTCATTTGCTTTTCTTTTCTGTTTCTTTCTTCTGCATTTATGTTGTGATGGGGAATACGAGGTACCTGCCTGGAACCACATTCAGTCATTGATATATATGGCTGACTGAGGAGCAGGCAGGCTTTCCCCTTTTTGTAGCCTCAACAATATGTACATAAGATGAGTAAGGAGTGTCCAAGTTATAAACCAAGGTTAGCAACTCGGCACGAAGGTTCTGAATTTAGTCCATGGTTCGAGTTTACATTTTTGCTTCCTCTTGTAAAAGCTACTGCTTATTATTGTATGTAATTGTGCCTGGATGAAGACTATCCAGTCTGGTGTTATTTGTGTACTATGTGCCCTCCAGGAAAAAAAAAAAGGAAGAAAAAAGGGAAAAAGCAGAGAAATGGTGTATAATGTATATGAGGATGAACTTGCAGCCTAACTTTCTTCACTTCCTTTATGCCAAAATTAGTGTTTGGAGTATCACACACTCCACTATAGATTGATTTTAGGTTTTTAGGTCGGTGATCCACTTTCCTTTTTCCGTGATCCACTTTCCTTTTTCTAACGATGAAAACGAAGTACCTTTGATGTATCACATGCCCAAAAAAACACAAAGGCATGTTTTAATGTAGCCATGTTTCTTATAATTTAGGGACTTCAGCGGATTGGATGGCTACAAACACAAGATGGAAGAGAACCAACTTTGGGTTCGGGGTATCCAATTCTGGTGGAAATTCAGCCATTCCTCACAATTCATGTGATGCCGTGGTTCGTTGAGAAGCAAATCGGGCAGCAGATGCTGGTCTTTCAGCAATTCTCCATTAACTCAACGCCAGAGGAGGATAAAGAAATGAGATTGTAATCAATAGATCTCTGGCAGCAAGGGAAAGATCTGCCAACATGACAGAGAGTACGACAACGACTTATTTCCCAAACAAGTAAAACTAATAATCCAAACAACCACTACGCAAAAAGAGCATAAGACCATTCGAAGTATTAAACATAAATCCACAAACTATTTCGATTGCATTGAGAACACACCCAAATTCCAACAGGGAAGCTAAAAATCTCAGATTAAACAAATACTACAAGTCAATATGGCCTTCCATCTAACAAGTTCTTCAAAATATAAGCAAACAAAAGGAGAAACATTCTCAAAACTGTTTGAAAGTCTATCAATACTCGCAAATGCTCAGAGCGAAGTAGAGTGGAGTAACCACAGCTCAACTCTCAGTTTGCTCCCTCAGCCTTCTGATTGTGCTCCTAACCGTCACAGCACTAGCAGTGCTGTTAAGAAAAAACGAAAAATCAATAAGTTGATTACTTGGGCTGAAAATTAAAGGAACTTTGACAAAAAAGAAAAAGGATTACTTCAAGGTATAGGCACCGCCCGCCTTCACTTTTCCGCAGTCCTTGCATCCCCAAATTCCAACAGCCTTTCTTTTCACAGCATACTATACAACAAGGAAATCAAAGATTTTATTATTTTTCAATAGACAAGAGTAAGACTAAATTTGTTAAGGAAATAGCACCGCACTACCTTGCCGCAAAATTCACAGAAATACTTGCTGTGTTGACTGACTTCCATCTTCTTAATCTGCTTACGCAGACTAGCACCATAACGGGTTCCTGCAATAAACGGCAGAAAATAGAATCATATACACTTCAATGCAGAATTAAAACTTAAACATACAGTGCCATCAGGAGATCATGGTATGCAGCATTGTTGCCCAGAGAAGAAAAAGAGCGTAGCAACATAGGAACAAATATTTCTCCTACCAAAAAGAGAAGCCCATCTCATACAATTTTGGAGAAAACAAAACAGAAAATGGAAAAAATCAGGTGTAATTCCAATAACCAATCCTACCACTACACCTAATCTCAGCTATTAACAAACTGGAAACTCAATGTTTTAGCATAAAACCACAACATAATCTGCAGTCAACCAAGTTAAAAAAAAAACCACTAAAGCCAATCAATTTCAGACATATAATCATAAAACACCATCACACAAGAAATAGGAAAGACAGAAATGAGATCAATATATGGCTCAAAGGCTGAAGCATAACAGAGAATAGTACATGAGAATAAGCACCAGGCACTTACCATATTTCCCAACAATACCCGCCTTCTTTGTCCTCTTAGTCTGCGAAAAAAAAAATACCATTTCTTATAAACACACATAGCTTGGAAATACCAAATCAATATGCAATAAAATTCATGACATTTTCAAAAACTAAATTCACAAATCTTACAAAATGAAAACCATAACCCAAAATCAAGACTTTTCTTCATTTTCCCTAATTCAGAGCTAGTTCAAGATAACAACAAGCTTTTACGATTTGGTTCCACAAAAATCAAGCCTATATTACAGAGCATTTTTCCCAGAAAACTTAAACAACAAATTAATTTCTGTGAAAGCAAACAGTCCATAAGTAGAGAGAGAGAGAGAGAGAGAGAGAGAGAGAGAGAGATACCATTGTTGTGGGTACGAGGGTCGCTGGCTGTGAGGGCTAAAGCGGCTGGTACTGACTTCTCAGAGCAGTAGAGGAAAACCCTAACTTGATTTGTTCTAATTTATAGAGCCCAAATGGGCTGGATCATTTTTAAACGGGTCAACCCAGCTGGGTTTAAAACCAACCAAATAAGTCTTTGTTGAGGGTAAAAAAAAGCCCAAATTACACGACAAACTCCGTGTAGGCAACCATGTCATTAAAAATGAATTGGACATGAAAGTACAACAAGTTCCGTTGTAGTCTAGTTGGTCAGGATACTCGGCTCTCACCCGAGAGACCCGGGTTCAAGTCCCGGCAACGGAAATTCTTTTTTAGTTTTTTGGTTTTCAATAGTCTCCAACCTTAAAGCTATGTTTTTCAATAGTCTCCAACCTTAAAGCTAAACTCTGAAGCCAGTTATGCCAAATTATCTTAGCCAATGAGTTTTTTTATTTTAAAAAAAAATCCAAATTATTGAAAATGAATAGCAAAAATGAAGACAGATGCATACGGTTAACTCAATGGTAGAGATGTGTAGATTAGGGCTCGCAATGGGTCGTGTCATCTCAGGATTATATATGTATCAAAAATGCTCAACTCAAACCCGATCCGTTTAATAAACGTATCATTTACGAGTTAACCTGTTAATTTTCTGTGCGAGTTTCAAGTAGTATCATGTTGACCCGCTAAGTTGTAGCAAATAAAAAACAAAGTTAACTATATGTTAAGTAATATGACACGTGTTGAATAATTAGAGAAGGGACACGAATGGTACACCAAATTGGGAACATCGGATCCGCTACCCGTTTAATAAACATATCATTTACAAGTTAACCCGTTAATTTTTCATGCGGGTTTCAAGTCGTGTCAGGTTAACCCGCTAAGTGGTAACAAATAAAAAGCAACTAAAAAATCCTAAAATTTGATAATTGAATCAAGTAATTGCATTTTTTATCTTTTATATAAAATTGTGATTGCATTTTGCCTCTCTCTATGTATGAAGATTGAGAAAAAGAAATAAAATAAATTTAAAAAATGAAGAAAATGAAGAATAAAAAAAGGGTTAGCAGGTTGACCCGTTTAATAAATGACCCAAAATGGGGGTTGAAATTATAAAAAAACTCAAGCACTATTTAAACATATAAACACACCCAAAACCCATCATTACACACACTCAAAACCCATTTATAAACACACCCAAAAAGTTGACTTTGGGGTTGATTTTGGGTGTGTTTCTATGTTTAAATAGTGCTTGGGTTTTTTTATAAATACATGTCTAGGATTGGGTTTATTTATAAATTTGTATTTTATAAATGGGTCAATGACGGGTTGATCTGAAAATGACCCGAAAATTTAATCATGTGAGTTGACCCACTAATTTTCCATGGGAATTTTAAGTCGTGTGTAGGGTCGTGTCGGAAATTGCCACCCCTATTGTAGATGCTCTTACCCAAGTCATTTTAGGCATATAATAAATATATAATACAACTAATATTGACCTAATTCAAAATATTATTACTCATGAATTTATAATACTCACACATTTTGTGGCTTAATATGCAATTAATTAGGAACATGATTATTTTTTGTGACTTAAGAACTTTGACGAAAGGATATCTCTTGTTTGTAACTATGGGGTGAATTTGATATGTGAAATGTTAAAAGAAGACAATATTAATTGAGTTGATTATGATGATCTCCGATAATTAGTGTTGTATATAGTCAATTTATTAGTGATCTCTTTCCCGTATAATAAAGACAATTAGCACAATATATGGTTTTATACTTTCTTGTATAAAGTTGTAGGTAATTCTAAAGACATATTTTTGCTCACCACTCTAACTCAATGTTTATTATCACCATCTTTCTATAACTTGACACTTGTCCATGGGCCTAACCATTGTTAACTTTTTGTGTTTGTATTTGTGAAAATATGCTTATGCTCATTAACATGTGTCAAGTATTGAAAATAGTGGTAATGGCACCCCTTGGGTTAAAATGGTGAGCAAAAATGCAAGGGCTTTTTTTTATAATTCAATTGATTAATGTTTGTTGAGTTTTTTTTGTCATTGAGTTGCTCTTTAAAAAAAAAATGGTTCTCATCTCATGTCATTGAGTATTTGTAACGTTAATGAAGACATTTTGTTATGGTATGCTAAAAACATCTCCATCAGCCTCTTCAAGAGCTTTGGAATGCTAAAACATGTGAGCCACATTATCAAAACCCTCTCTAATAGTCTTGTCAAACTTAGTCATAAAAGTTGCAACCTCTTTCTCTTTCTTCAGGACTGGTAAGTTGACATTCACTCCTCAAAACATTTAATTTTGCTTTGGAAAAAAAAAAAAAAAAACCTACTTTAAAAATGTTAAAAACATGTATTTTTTTCTTTTCAAATAATAAATACATAGATATTTTTCATATGTTTTATTCTTTTCCATAACATTGCATTAATTGAATTGAAAAGTCTGTTGGGGCATAAATTACTAAAGTAGCAAATAAGCCTTTTCAAATTGCCACATGAGTCTACAAACTTTAATTTGAATAGTTCATTTTTCGACTACTCTTGGAGATGCTTTAACTACGTACTCTATGTCATACTGTGTACCTTTATTATGTCTTAGGCCATAATATAAGAGGAAATGACTAGCCAAGATAGTCATTCGTCAATGGGAGCAGATATGATGTTCCCAATTTGGTGTCCCATTCGTGTCCATTCTCTAATTATTCAACATGTGTCATATAACTTGACATATAATTAACTTTATCCCCAAAATCGACTTAGATACATTTAAATCGCCATTACCTAGCCTATATTCAAAATTTGAATTAGCAACTCCTTCCAAGGTCAATAAGCAACAGCTAGCCATCACTACATAATATTCTGAGGAACAATAAATTAAACCATGAATTTTCCATGGACTAGTAATTTAATTTCAACCATGAAATTAAACACCCAAAATATCATCTAATGACAAGTTGGTTTTGGTTCCCACTCCAAATAGCCTTCTCTCACTCTAATTATATTGCAACTGATAGGCCCAACATTGAAGTGATGCGTGAGAATTGGTCCACTGATGGGGGAAGCATATTGATCCTGGGCGTTATTGAAGAAGTAGAGGAATATAGCCAACCCAACTATGATGTAAGGGCGAGAAAAAAATAGGATTGGATGAGTCTGAATTGGCTCCAACAAAGAAGGCTAAAAGCGGTGCCCATCATCACGCAGATGGAGGGAGGACGAGAAAAACAACAAAGAAGGATCGACTCTATGAGGTGGTGGTTAGCCCTTAGAAAGAACTTGAAGCAGTGGAGAAATATAGGAGCAAAATGGGTTTGGAGAATTCTTCCCCCCTAGGGTTGTGGTGGGTGGACCAAATAAGCTACAATGGAGTTATGATACAACTGTCGTGGAACTGTCAAGGGTTTGGAGAATCCCTTGACAGTTTTGTATTTGAAGGAACTTTTATGTTTCAAAAATTCCACGGTGGTGTTTCTAATGGAAACGAAGAAAAATTGTGATTACATTATATGACAAATTTCGCAATTTTAGGCTAGTGAGGAAGGATTATTATAAAAATGAAAGACTGCTGAGTTTGTTAACATATTGAGGAGGATAGCTTCGACATAAATACAAAATTATCAGAAGAGATTTGTGAGGTGAGATTTCATAAGTGGAAATTCACCAAATGGCCCGGGCAATAACGTATGATTCCCTCTATTCGCACTAGACTAGAGTCCAGTTCTCTTAGGGCATGTTTGTTAAGGGAGAAGGGACTAGACAAGAATTATGTAGTGAGGGCCTTATATATGGCCGTTAATGGTAAAGATATAGAATCTCACTTAAGAACCATATATAAGGCCATATAGAATATTACTTAAGAACCATATATAAGGCCCGATCATAGAATGACTCTGGAACTAGGATAGGCTATCATGCTAAACATGGGCTTATTTAAGAAGCTCACTAATGGGGCTTATCTTAGCCCATTTAAAAAGCAGTGCTTAAATAAGGCGGCCCAAAATAACGAGCCCATCTCGCGAAAACAAAACACGCTCGTCTTCGATTTCACGCTCTGGAGCTCTCGTCTTCTTCCCCAGTTTCATGAGCGAGGGTCTTCATCTACCTCTATAGTTTGCCTCAATCTCTCCTTTCTCCTCTCTCCTCTACTTTGTCCACTGATTTTAATTTTGATTTTGTGCAGATTTAACCATTGTGGTTACTTCTTACTCTGTGCAAATCTTAAGGCTTTCATTGATTCACTGTTGAGGTAAGCTCTGCTAGCTTTATAATTCATCCTTTATTGCTTCTTCGATCTTGGTTTTTTTTTTTTTTTTTTTTGTTTGGTTTTTTTTTTTATTTTTTTTGTTTTTTTTTAATGAATTGTAAATGGGGGAGGAGAAAAAAAGAAAAATATTTATGTGTTATATTCATATTTGTATTGGTCGTATTGTTGATTAGTTGGGATTGAAATTGTGGTCTAATTGCATTTTGCAGCTTACAATTTGTGATTTTTCCTTTTCCTTTTTGTTTTTTGGTTGTTATTGACGCTATTGAATCTGGAGGACCCATTTATTGCTTTTCTAAAGTTAGCACCTTTTTTTTTTTTTCCTGGGTTTACAAGTGCATCTGTGATTGTTTTATTTCAGTTTGTAGGTGGTGAAAAATAGGCTGGATTTGTATGTTCTGTGAGAGTTGGTTTTCTGTTTCAATATCACAAAGAAGGTGGGGGGAAGTTTTAAAATTAGGATAAATGTTGTTTTCAATCACTTTGGAGCTGAATCTTGTTTCTTGAGAAATTAAGCTTTTTTAAGACCTAGTTTTGTGTTTTGAAGTATGCTCATTTCACTATTCAATTCTGTGCTGATATGATATTCTTCTTCTTGGCATTATGCTCATGGCTCTGGAATTTCAGTTTGCAATGAATTGCTATATCCATCTCCATTAATAAACTATCTGATTACCATACTCAACTGATTATAAACTCTTGAAAACTGTATATTTTTGTAAGTGAGAAAGCTTTGAAGTTTGTTGGTTGTATTAAAGGATAAATATGTATTTTTTGGTCAATTGGGTCTAGTGTTTGATGTATTTTTGGTGTGCAATTACCACATGGACCAAGGAAGACTCGTGTTCTATTGTTCATCAGCTGATTGATAATTGTGATATGATGTTGGGTTTTGTATTGAGAAAGTTAAGTCGGACACAGTTTCTAACAATTCATTTGAATAATTAGGTGATCAAGTTGGTTAATTTAGTTTGGTGTGCTTCACTTGATTGATTTGGTGATCAAGTTGAGTTGGATTGAATTTGCAATGCATTTGGTTTAATTTGCTTGTCAGGGTTGATATCATAGAATTGTGTGGATTATGTAATCCCTGGGCTTAATTTGGTCATTCATTTGCATTTATTTAATTACTCTTCAGTCTAATTTAGTCTTAACTCTTTCTGCACGGGGATATGAGGATGCTGACTGGTTTGGCTTGGTGAACCTTCTCTTTGAGGACTGAGAGGTTGTAGATGAGAGAGGTTGAGTGGTTCTATGGGCCTGATGATGACTTTTGGATATGTATTTGTTTGTAATAGTTAAATTAGTTTTGGATTTATTTATTAGTTTATAATTTTTGTAATTATAAGTTTGTAATTTTTTTTATAACGCATATTTAAGAACAGGAAAAAAATGATTTAATGTTTAAAATAATTATTTTTATAGTTTAGAAATATAGTCCTGTCTTGGATTGCACCAAACATAGGATAGTGCTAAATAACACTATTTTGCCCCTTAGCCCCCCTTAGTCCAGGACTCCATCAAATATAAGACAGGACTAAGTCCAAGCCAAGCCAATCCAAGCCAGTCCTTGAATTTAGTCATGTCCAGTCCAGTCCTGTGTACCAAACGCCCCCTTAGTAGATAGGCCTACCAATGGGTTATTTGTCTTTTAAGCTAATTCTACCTTGTTTCAATCTTGTATTTGATTTCATAGAGACACCATGTTTTTGAATTTTACACTAGTTCATGTCATGTAATGCTGATTATACTTATATTTTCCTATCTCTCATCTGGATCCAGTTTTGACCCATTATTCTCCTTGAATGAGAATTTACCAAGAACTGGACAATCTTTCATTTGTTGGAAAATGGCAAAGAAAGGAAGCTCAAAGTTGAATATTGCTATTATTCATCCTGATCTGGGTATAGGTAATTTCTATTTCTTCTTGTCATCATTGAAGATTGTAAAGAAGTTGTTTTGGCCTTATGTTGTTGTGATGTGATGTGCAGGTGGAGCTGAAAGACTAATTGTTGATGCAGCTGTGGAACTTGCATCCCATGGGCATAAAGTTCATGTTTTCACAGCGCACCATGACAAAAATCGCTGTTTTGAGGAGACTATTTCTGGTGTGCCTTTTTTGTACTTCAAATTTATCTTTGAAATCATTGTATTTGTGAAAATGTGGTGGGGTTTACTTAGGGTTGGAATGTCTATGGTACAATAAATCAAATAGGTGTGTTCGGGAACCACAAAAACTCATGCCCATATCCTACATCAAATTGTAATGCCATTTGAAAGTTGAAATCAGAGACTTATACAAACACAAGAAAATAAAATTTTGTATGCATCCTTTGGAGGAAGAAAAGAAGTCACAGTAGAATATTGAAAGATTTCAGGTTCAAGTAGTCTTGGTGTGTGTGTGTGTGTGTGTGTGTGTGTGTGTGTGTGTGTATGTATTTCTAGGAGTACCATGGTTAGAAATACAACCTGCCTTGAGAACTATATTGCATAATACTACTAAATAGGCAGATGGGTGTTAGACCTTAGAGTTGGAAGATGGCTTATGCTTTCTGCTTCCTTTTTGGGGAACCTGTTTTCAGTTTGGTGTTGATTAGCTGTCATTCTAAAGCAGTGCATGGTTTGATGTTTTAATGTCATCGGTTTGCCAGGTACCTTTCCTGTGACTGTATATGGCGCTTTCCTACCCCGACATATATTCTATCGTCTTCATGCTTTGTGTGCATATCTGCGGTGCCTTTTTGTTGCTGTGTGTGTGCTGGTCATGTGGCCAGCATTTGATGTGATACTAGCAGATCAGGTTTCTGTTGTCATCCCATTGCTGAAGCTAAAGAAGTCAACAAAGGTGCTTGCACCTATCTTGTACGAATTGTTATGTAGCATTGTTTGCTATTATAGTTGTTTTATGTGTTACATCTTTGTGTACAGGTTCTTTTTTATTGCCATTTTCCAGATTTATTACTGGCTCAACATACAACTATTCTAAGGAGGATATATAGAAAACCGATAGACTTCATAGAAGAAATGACAACCGGTCTGATTCCATTTCTTGGTTTTATCGTTTTTATGTGATGTGTAGACTGCATCTCTCTAGTGTTCTTTTGTTGTGGGTATACAGCTATTCCTTACCACATTATTTTTTTAAATGATACTGCTGCAGGAATTGCTGATAAGATTCTTGTTAATAGCAAATTTACGGCATCTATGTTTGCAAAGACCTTCAAGCATCTTGATGCGCGAGGAGTTCAGCCAGCTGTTCTTTACCCAGCTGTCAATGTGAATCAGTTTGATGAACCCACCAATTCTTATAAGTAATGAACATATTTGTGTATCTGTTGGTACCTTACGGTTTTAGGCATGCTTTTATGATTCCATATCTAACCATTTGTTAGATGACTTTTCTTTGAATTTTATCTGGTAATTTACAGTTTCGGTTATTTGTTTATTTCCTTGTTGTAGGTTGAATTTTCTGTCCATCAACCGTTTTGAGAAGAAAAAGAATATAGACTTGGCAATTTTGGCCTTTTCTATGCTTCACACCCTGGGAGGAGATGTGCTTCAAGGCCTCAATCTGGCTGAAGCTTCCTTAACAATTGCAGGCAAGTTCCTACTTTTTTATCTGCCTGGGTAGTCTTATTGATGGATGTTTTATGCTAATTAGTAAGTACACCCTTTGAAAAAAAAAAAAAAGACTTTAAATTACTATACAAGCTACCGGGTTAGATATGCTTGGTCCTTGTTTTCGGTAATTCTTGATGATATTTGTTTGGGCCATATACCAAAGGATCCAATGCCTACTCGAATGCCTACCGGTTGACATTGATACATTAATCCAGCATCATTTCATACTTCGATAGAATTGCATGACTTGTGCACATATGGGTGAAAAAATTGATAAATGTCTTTTGTTTTAGGTGGTTTTGATAAGCGCTTGAAGGAAAATGTTGAGTACTTGGAGGAGCTCAGAAGTTTAGCGGAAAGGGAAGGAGTGTCTAGTCAGGTTAACTTCATCACATCTTGCTCAACAGCTGAAAGAAATGCACTTCTCTCCCAATGCCTATGTGTTCTTTATACGCCAAAGGTGCTAATTTCTTTATTTGGTTCCATTGATTGGATATAGTGAAGAAATGAATTTGACGTGCGGTATTCAATAATGCAGGATGAACACTTTGGCATTGTTCCTCTGGAAGCGATGGCGGCTCACAAACCTGTTATTGCATGCAATAGTGGGGGCCCTGTAGAAACAGTTAAGGATGGTGTAACAGGATTTCTTTGTGAGGGTAACCCAAGAGCATTCTCCTTGGCTATGGCTAAACTCATTCAAGACCCACAGATGGCACAGAGAATGGGTACTGAAGCTCAAAAGCATGTCACGGAGTCATTCTCTACAAAAATATTTGGTCAGAATTTGAATCAATACCTTGTTGATATTGCTCGGACAAAGAGAGACTGAGAATAAATTAACATAGCGCATGATACACAGACAGTCGCATTAATATGAATCTCTGCTTTAAAGCGACTGCTGCAAGCTTCAGATATTACATAATGATGATGGCAATTGACTAACTATACTTGTCCTGCATTGGAGTTTATGTATGGTTGTGGCGAGCCCCATTGACTTATAATCTTAATCTGGCAAACATAAATGAAAAGTATGTAAACGTAATGGACAAAAGGGAAAAGAAAGTGCAAACATGTAAGGCAAGGCACTCTCTACTACCATTTATCTTAATCCAAGTTCGAGTCTCATAACGAACTATATCTTTCTCTTTGAATGAGGTCTCAATTCCAGCAACGGTTTCATTAGATATCTTACAACTAGAAGCCCTTTTTTATCCGATCCAGTTCCTCCACCACCACGAACCCCTATAGCCCGTATACTAAGAATTATTTTTGACACTGGAAATGAAAAACAACTTAGATTCACCTGAAAACACAGAAGGGTGCATGTAATAGATATCTCTCTTAAACCCATGTCTGTTTTCTTGCAGAAGTTGCTGAACAATTACTAGAACCCTAAGCAAAACATCTGAAACGGACTCGGCGAACCAGGTAATCAGTAACTGGTACCTTGCATAAATCTCTTGTACATTTATGATAGAGTTCAATTGTCTGTTAATGTCATTATGAGGTTGATAGTCTGACAACATAACATCCACAAATCTCTGGTTTTCTATGCCTTTATTGTTAATGAAAAATGGAAGATGAACACTCATTTCAGTTCATTTTGATAAATTAGTCTGTTTATTATAAAAATTGGCGAGGGCCTCTGATTATTCTTAGCAAATTGCAGGGCCGTGGCTGTGAGCTCCATCGTGAGAGCTTTCCCTCCATAATTCTTGCGTTAATGGAGATTTTTTCAAAAATAATTTCTGGGTATTTATAAGATTGCTTGTGGGCCGGGTAAGTTTAGCTCGCTTTATAAGGAATAGAACTTTGTGTTTGTCAAACTTGAGTCTTACAATGACTAAGGCACAGACCAGAGAAAAAAATTACTGATGCACTATATATATGATCATAGAAAATACAAAAAATTTGTGTTAAGTTTCATTGCAGAGCATCATGATCTTCCAATATACTTCACCAATAAAACTATTTGTAACATAGAGGGAAGTAACATGAGTTATTCCCTGCAAATGTCTCCTTTATAAGCTGAAATACATTGTACATCAGCAGTCTGTTCGACCAACTAGTATTACAAAAGGAAATCACAGATAAATCAGCCATCATTCAGTATGCACACATAACCCTTTTGAACTCCGGTATTATTGAGACGCCTCATGTTTGTTAAGTGTCAGCTCCTCCTGGAGTCGATATGGAAGATGCACAAGGGAACCAATATCGGCGAATACCATCTTTGTGGCCATCATCAATCATTGCAAGACCCTCCTGAGAAAAGCAAGGGTTTCTTGAGCCCCAGCAATCGTAGTATGAGTAGTTCAGTAAATGTCATCAGCTTACATCTAGTAAAGTGTCGAATGCATCAATTGCACAGCCAGTGGTCCAAGATAACCGTCTCTCTACCTCATCAACAATCACAAATCCTTGAGCCTAAGAGAAGAGAACCGGAACATAAGCGCAAGTAACCCATCTAGATGGTAAAAATCAAATAAGTTCGCTGAAATTTGTACTCCTGGCAAAGTTAGCAGGAAGATAAAACAAAAATTTGCAACCTGGGCTAGCTCTAAAATTTCATTATGGTCTTTGTTCAACTCAGTCGGAACAGAACGAACAAGCTTTCGCTTTCCAACAGAAATCACATCAAAACCATTACCCAATACCTGGAATCAAGCAACAGTTGTTACTTAGTCAACAATCATAATAGTATGGTACTAACTACTGCAGAGATATAATATGAACTGTTTAAGACAAACTTTATGAAATGCTTAAGAGTCGAAAGCATCATAATAAATCATAAAATACAGAGTTTCAATCATGAGATCAAAAGGGACTACTACTACAACTACTCATATACAATGGTAACAAAACCTAATCGGCCTTCCAGCAATCACCAGGCTAACAACCTAAAAGAACTAGCCAGAGTGTTCTGTCACATAGCAAAAATGCGGCAAGAATTCGAGCCCCTTGGGCCTAGTCACCTAAAATTCAGGATGTGAACCTCTTCTACTGAAACCATAGGATCACAAGATTTATTTGTATTCTTTTGGGGCTGGGGGCCAATCACTTGTCTAAGGCCTTCCTGATCGAAGTACATCAATTTCTGACTGACACTTGTACAAGTAATGCATTGACAAGCTAATCATATTTACCTTCAACTTACTTATAGCACGCAGGCAATCATCCTCAGAAACAGCTTCACGATCACTCTTTCGCCTCTGATGAAGCATATTTCTGACTGACACCTGACTAGACACTCCTTCCCTTTCCGCTAAACTTCTGAGCTCCTCCAAGTACTCAACATTTTCCTTTAAGCGCTTATCAAAACCACCTAAAACAAAGGACATGCAAAGTCCTTTTTTTTTTCTTTTCAAAGGGTGTACTTACTAATTAGCATAAAACATCCATCAATTAAGACTACTTGAACCTGAAATCTTTCAGTATTCTACTGTCACTTCTTTTCTTCCTCCAAAGGATGCATATAAAATTTTATCTTCTTGTGTATGTATAAGTCTCTGATTTCAACTTTCAAATGGCATTACAATTTGATGTAGGATATGGGCATGAGTTTTTGTGGTTGCCGAACACACCTATTTGATTTATTGTACCGTAGACATTCCAACCCTAAGTAAACCCCACCACATTTTCACAAATACAATCATTTCAAAGATAAATGTCAAGTACAAAAAAGGCACACCAGAAATAGTCTCCTCAAAACAGCGATTTTTGCCATGGTGCGCTGTGAAAACATGAACTTTATGCCCATGGGATGCAAGTTCCACAGCCGCATCAACAATTAGTCTTTCAGCTCCACCTGCACATCACATCACAACAACATAATGCCAAACTTCTTTACAATCTTCAATGATGACAAGAAGAAATAGAAATTACCTATACCCAGATCAGGATGAATAATAGCAATATTCAACTTTGGGCTTCCTTTCTTTGCCATTTTCCAACAAATGAAAGATTGTCCAGTTCTTGGTAAATTCTCATTCAAGGAGAATAATGGGTCAAAACTGGATCTAGATGAGAGATAGGAAAATACAAGTATAATCAGCATTACATGACATGAACTAGAGTAAAATTCAAAAACATGGTGTCTCTATGAAATCAAATACAAGATTGAAACAAGATATAATTAGCTTAAAAGACAAATAACCTAGTCTTAAAATAACCCATTGGTAGGCCTATCTACTAAGGGGGCATTTGGTACACAGGACTACTGAACTACTCATACTATCCACACTTCCCTTCAGTCTATTATATATACATACTACGATTGCTGGGGCTCAACTTTTCTCAGGAGGGTCTTACAATGATTGATGATGGCCACAAAGATGGTATTCGCCGATATTGGTTCCCTTGTGTATCTTCCATATCGACTCCAGGAGGAGCTGACACTTAACAAACATGAGGCTTCTCAATAATACCGGAGTTCAAAAGGGTTATGTGTGCATACAAAACCGTAGTCATTCCTTCCATGGGAGATAACAAGGAGTCTACAAAACCTTCTCATTCAACCATGGCAGAAGGAACCAAGTGATCCTTGTATCACAGCCCTTGAGTGAAGACAACTACAGCACAAGGAATTACTCACAGTTTTATACAAGGAAGTAGAAAACCAAATCCTATATTGTGCTAATTGTCTTTACAATACAGGAAATAGAATCATTAATTAGTTGACTATCTACAACAACACACTAATTATCGGAGATCATCAGAATCAACTCAATTGATCTTGTCTTCTTTAAATCTTAACCAAAAGTTGACTGGCCTAGCTGCTCAAAGTATATGTCTTCATGCAGTAAAGCTATGCTTTTAAATATGTGCTTTAGTTTCTCGTGCTGAGCCATCTCTTCCAAGATTTTATCCTCTGAAACTGTGGCTCGGATTTCCTTCTCGAGAGCCTTCTTGTCTGAATCAGAAAACACCAACTCAGATAAACGACTCTTGTCAACTTGGCGACTGTATTTATCCTCTTCGTTAGTTCCGTCCATGAGGAGATGGTAGACAAACACAACCTTCTTCTGTCCCAGCCTGTAGGCACGGGATATTGCTTGCCTCTCCACAGATGGATTCCATGCGACATCAAGCAATACAACCCTGGAAGCTCCAACAAGGCTTATGCCTTCGGAACATGCTTTAGTTGAAGCTAGTAATACCTTGGCATTGCTAGATGGATCATTGAAAACCTTCATCGAGGATTGACGCTGCTTCATATCACATTTCCCATCCATATACAGCACCTCTTCCCCTTCAGTCCACTGAAATAGAGATTTCAGAAGATCCCTTATAAGGATTAACGGATCAAGGTATTGACTGAAAACCAGAACTCTTTCCTTCATAGCATCGCTGAGCCGAATGAGTTCCATCACAAATTTTGCCTTGACTCCAGCATCGGGATTTAATTTAAGCTCCTCTAACCTACCCCGGTCAGCAGAAAATGCATCTTCCTTATCCTTAAGCAAGAGGGAAGGATGAATACATATTAAAGCCTCTAGGTTTTCATATCGAAACAGTTCCTTCACCCCTTGAATTCTCTTATGAAACCTCACCTGTAGCGGGGTTGGGTGTAAAACAACAACTGAGTTCCTTAACCCGGGAAGACTATCTTGCAGCACAGAACCTTTATAGACGTGGACAAATGGCGCAATCTGAGCTTTGACCTCTGTAGCATGTTTTTCTTTGTCATCAGCAACTTTTCCATTACTACTGGCCACAAAAGTCCTTTTCCATTTTTCCCCATTGCTTTTCCGGCCTCGTTTTCTGGGAAGATCCCTACTGAATTTAGTAGAATCAATCGAGGCTGCAAAAGTGGGCCTCACAAGGTAGATTGTATTGAATAGCTCCTGAAAGTTATTTTGAAACGGAGTTCCAGAGAGCAGAATTCGGCTTTTTGTTTTGATTTCTGACAAAGCCTTCCACATATGACTTTGATCATTTCGAGGAGTGTGTCCTTCATCAAACACTACAAGACCAGGAAACTCAAGAAGGATTTTCCCCATTTCATCAGCTGAGCCAGTTTTTTGTGCTCCAGAAAGCTGCTCAAATAGCCGGTAAGTAATCCCCAGGATGCTTCTGTTCTTTTTCCAGGAATACAACTTCAGCATTCGGCTGTTCTCTTTGTTAACACTTTTCCTGCCTTGAGCTTGCATCACCAAATTTACAGCTGTTTGATTTTCTTCGCCAGATAACTCCAAGTTGTTAAGATTGTGAAATGGAATGTCAAACTTCCATTTTTTAAACTCCTCTTCCCACGTAAGGAGCATGCTACGAGGAGCAATCAGAAGCGGCCTGCAATCTGGGAATAACTCCATGTATGTCTGGAGAAAGACAATGGTCAGGCGAGTTTTTCCTGTTCCAGGAGCATGTGATATGATGCATCCATTCCCACCAACACTACTTGGCTTTTTCAACTTGTCAAGATGAATACCACCCGCTATATGGTTCCAGATAAACTCAAAACCTTCACGCTGATGGGGATACATACTATTTTTAACACCAGGAATTAAGTCCCACACTGTGCCTTCAACGTGAGGATGAGAATTACAGCCAGAATGGCGATCAGAATCAGAAACATGGGATTGAAGCTCATCAAAGATAGACCGGTTGTCTGTTTCGGAGCCTCTTGTGCCAAATCTTCCATAAGGGCAGTCAATCTGGAATGAACATACACAAGGGAAAAATCACATATCTGATATGCTAAAGCATGACAATTAAGTTGATAAGCACGGAGTATCAGAAACCAGGCAAGGAAAGTAAAAGAAGATCGGAAAATCAGACCCTATATACTAAATCATTCTTCTTCTTCTTTTTTTTTGGCCAAGATATACTAAATCATTCAAAGCAACATATTTGACGAGACTCAAGAAATCCTTAAAAAAAATTTGAGATTGGCCAGAAACATTGCAAGGACATTCACCATAACTAACTTGATAATTCTGATTTGAATGACTAAAATCAACGAGTTGCAGCTTTTAGAAGTAAAAATGGCCCACCAATGAGATCATTAAATTACCCCATCCGAGGATGAAGGATCCTCTCAATATCAAAGAAAGAAAGCATTGTCAAGTTAAGTACACCAAAAAATAATTACTGTCAAGTTAAAGACCAAAAGCTTTGAGTAACCAAATGAACTAAACCAATGATCAAGTCCGAGCATATACAAGAGCTATTTACAAATACAATAAAAATCTAATAATAACAAATAACAGTTGAAATATGTCAATTGGGTCAATAACTTGAACAGTGAGTTTGCTCTCAGATCCAATCAAACTTGGCCAACTCATGTTACAGCGAATGGAACGTCAACATGTCATAGTTTCATTCCAAATAATGGACCCAGCTAGGTAAGCAAGCCCTTGCTCTAAGTCTCTAAATCTAGAACTTATATGGATAAAATTGCCAACAAAGGATGCATCCTAAAGCATGTTCCAAATAGCACAGAATGCTCTACATGCAGTGTTGTCATAATAATAACTAGATTCTAAGTTTTAGTGCAAATGAAAAATGCTAACATAATCAATCTTAACTGAAAGGAACATGCATATGACAGTTGCACGACTTACGAAGTCTGGTAAAATATACTTGATCTCCTGATCTACATAAGAGCAAAACTTGCATAGGAGTCCAATCTCTTCATCAAGTATAAGCTGATGAACCCCTCTCCTACAGAGGCCAGCTACTGTTTCAACTTCGTTAGCAATAGGGAGTGAATCTTGACTTTCAACCTGCCACTCAAACATTCACTTGCAATAAAACATCTTGTGCAAGAAACAAAAATGTACTTTCCAGGAGTAGAGTGCAAACAATGTTGTTTATGTCAACCTACCACATTAGAATCAGGGGACCCAATCTCAGAAGCTCTGAGAGCAAATTCAAGATCGTCCCATAGTTCTTTTTCTTCTGGATCACACTCTGACTTCTTTGGTACATTTGACTGCTCACATGGAAAAGTAAACTTAAGTGGAAGCGTTGTCATCTCAGATTTTGGTGGATTTCTTTCATCTTTAGGGCCTTCATCTCCAAAGGAAACTGACCCTTCCAGTGTCCCTTCTCCCTTCTCATAAATGGAATCTACAAGAATCTTAAAAGCATTACAATCCTTCTTTGCCCGCATGGACCTTCTGTTAGTCAGATTCTCAATATCCCTTTTATTCTTCTTGTACACTCCGTGGACACCGTTCCATTTATTAGGCTCAGTTTCTGGACTACCACCATAGGTCTTGTCACCTTCATCATTTCTTCTATCATCATCAGACCCTGTTTTCTTTTCGTGGCACCTAGTTCTCAGACCACTGCAATTGGCGTCATCAACATCCTCATTGTCATTATCATGCCCGGAAGAAGAATCCTCATTATCCTCATCAACACAAAGTCGTTGATTTACAGTTCCAGATTCTATTCTCTTCTTTTCACTTCTTCGACTAACTCGTGAACGATTTCGTTTTGCCACACTATTAAACTCTTGAGCAGAATGAATAGGATCATCTTTGTTGCTATCAATGCCATCATCTGCATCAACTGACATATCCAACCCAACCCTTCTCTTTCTCCTCGCACCAACCTCAACACTTCTCCCCTTTCTCGCTTTCCCACTTCCTTTTGTAATCTCACTAGCATCAATGTCCTTCCCCTTCTTCACCTCAACATCACCCTCAACACTTTTCCCCTTTCTTGGTTTCCCACTTGTCTTGGTAACCTCTCTTTCGTCATCATGCCCCTCTCCACTACATGAATTCGACTCCTCAGAAAATACAGAACTTTCTGACTTTTCTTGTTCAAAAGACTCATCATCTGATTCATCTGAGGCATCAGAAATAGCATCCTCACTAGAACTACTCTTCCAAGATTCATCTGAGCCATCAGAAGCAGTATCCTCACTGGCATCACTCCTCTCTGTACTCGAACAACCAGAACCTCCTACTTTCTCTTCACCCAAATACACCACCTCACCATCACTATCCTCCACGTCAACTGGACACAAATTCTCAATGTCCACAGCACCAGATT